CAAGGGAGGAAGGAAAGGGAAGGAGAGGAGCCCCCTTTCCCCCTGACGTCATTTCCGGAAGGGAGGGCTGCTCCACCACGTGGACCTTGGTGCACTTCCTTTCCTGGGAAGAGAAGGAAGGCAGGCAGAGGGGAAGGTGAGCAGGGCTGGGGGTGGAGGGACATTGTGGGGGGGCCTCCTTGGCCCACCCAAAGGGGCTGCCTTGGGCTCTGCCTCCTCTCTGCATTGGGGTCTCTCTCTTTCTCTTTGGGGCTGGAGCAGAAGGGAAGGGCCAAGGAAGCCTTGGCTTGTGTGTGTTTGTCTCTCTGTTTGAGGGCTTCCCCTTGCAGGATGCCTCAGTGCCAACTCCCCCCTCCCTTCCCTTTAGGGAAGCATCCTGCAAGGGGAAGCCCCATCTCCCCCAGGATGCTTCCCTTCCCATTCATTCAGGAGCCTTCAAGGGGTGCAGAGGAAAGAGTGGGTCCCCAAATAGGCCTCTTCTTGCCAGGGGAAGGGGCCCTGATGGGGGCAATGGAGGGGGCTCATGTGGGTGGGAGAGGAAGGCAGGAAGTTCTCTCCTCTGGAAAGGGAAGGGGTTTCAAGGAGGAGGAGGAGGGAGTGAGTAATTAAGGAAGGGTCTTTTTGCCAGGGGACGGGGCCCTTTGGTGGTTTGGAGACCCCCCCCCCAACAAAGGTAGAAGGTTAGTGGGCCTGCATTCCCTCCCCTTCCTCTCAATTTAGGGGTGTCATGGAGGTAGGAAGGCATGAACCCCATTTGACCCCCCCCCCAACAGAGGTAGAGGGGTCAGTGGGCCTGCATTCCCTCCCCTTCCTCTCTCTCTCTTCCATGGGGCCCAGAGACTGGGAGGAAAGGCAATGATAGGAAAGTTGTTGGGAGGCTACAGACAATGCCGTTGCTGTTGCCCGTTTTTGGTCAAAAGATATTTAGCCGCCTGCGCTCCTTCTATTTTTTATCAATTTTTATATTAATTTATGCAATGTTTTTGATACAAAATAAAATAAATTAATATAAAAATTGATAAAAATAGAAGGAGCCAAGAGGTGTGGTAGTTCTCATAAAGCTTTTCCTTGATTTGAGTCTACTGGGAGGAGGCTGGTAGCCATGCAGTGCGTGGCTTGCACAGGGTTGAACCTTATTTCTCTCACATTTAGCAGCACCTTCTCGTCGCACATTGGGGGGGGGGGGGCAATGCCAGCTAGCTTGTAGAGCAGTATTCTCAACCTTCATAATGCCGCGACCCCTTAATACAGTTCCTCATGTTGTGGTGACCCCCAACCATAACATTATTTTGTTGCTACTTCATAACTGTAATTTTGCTACTGTTATGAATCGTAATGTAAATATCTGATATGCAGGATGTATTTTCATTCACTGGACCAAATTTGGCACAAATACCCCATATGCCCAAATTTGAATACTGGTTGGGTTGGGGGGGGGGGTTGATTTTGTCATTTGGGAGTTGTAGTTGCTGGGATTTATAGTTCACCTAAAATCAAAGAGCATTCTGAACTCCACCAACGATGGAATTGAACCAATCTTGACACACAGAACTTTCCATGACCAACAGAAAATACTGGAAGGGTTTGGTGGGTATTGACCTTACATTTTGGAGTTGCAGTTCACCTACATCCAGACTTGTAGTTCACCTACATCCAGACTTGTCGTTCACCTACATCCAGACCAAACTTGGCATAAATACTCAATATGCCCAAATGTGAGTTTGAGGAAAATAGACCTTGACATTTGGGAGTTGTAGTTGCTGGGATTTATAGTTCACCTACAATCAAAGAGCATTCTGAACCCCACCAAAGATAGAATTGGGCCAGACTTCCCACACAGAAACCACATGACCAACAGAAAATGCTGCATTTTCTGATGGTCTTTCACGAGCAGCAACTTCCCGTCGCACATTGGGGGAGGGGGGCAATGCCAGCTAGCTTGTAGAATTTATCAACAGGTGTAGGTTTAAGACATCCTGTGATTATTCTGCATGTTTAATTCAATGCTATGTTCACCTGCTTTGCATGGGCAGACTTACGCCCAACAGGGCAGGCTTACTCAGCAGTTGAATAAGTCAAGGCCAGGGCTGATGTTCTTACTAATTTTGGGTGTTGCATTTTGGTGATGTTCTCCATCTCTTTGTTCTCCTTTCAGCCTCTGGGATCCTTTGAAGAAGTGCTTGTGCGTTCCTCTGAGAAGGAGTTGTGTGTCCTGGACCAGGTCTAGTGGGGTTCATGTGCAGACGATACAATGGAGACCTGTGAGAGCATGCCCTCTGGGTAAGCATGTGTCCTTTCCACTGCTCCTCAGCATATAGCATTGGCCGACCCAGAGTTGGAGCTGCCATGTCCCCTCTCTCTTTCCCTTCCATTGTCTTTTGGAGCGAGAACACCAGAGACACTCCAAGTGGCCAGATACTGGTCAAAGGACATTTAATAGAATACCAAGTCTGCAAACTTTGTGTTTTGTTTTGTTTTGGTTTTTTTGTCTGTTTTTAATGCAATACAACTGCTTTGGTTCGCTCCTGACACGATAAATAAATATAGCAGTTAAGATCACCTCCTTATTTGCTCCTTGGTTTCTGTGCTTTTTTCTAATTGAATTTTATTTTCCTTCAAAATAGAAATCAGCAGGAGAACGAGAACTACGGAGAACCAGCTGTAACAAAGCTTGTCATGGAAAACACAACTCAGGTGAAAACTCCGAAGACCATATCTTCTTTCCAGAAGGCAGATCATTCTGAACATCTAGCCTCAGAATCGGTGTCTATGTCAGAATCAAAGAAAACTGAATGTTCTGACTGTGGGAGAATTTGCAAATGCCATTCACAGTTAGACATAGATGCCAAACTACATAAAGGAGACAAATGCATGGAATGTGGAAGCAATTTTAGTCCATGTGATCATCTACATTCACATCAGAGAACACACACAGAAGAGAAACCTTATCAATGTATGGATTGTGGAAAGACCTTCGGTTTTAGCAGCAATCTGCGTCGCCATCAAATGATCCACACGGGAAAGAAGCCACATGAATGCACGGAATGTGGGAAGTGCTTCAGGGAGAGTGCACATCTGCGTAGCCATCAAAGGACCCACACAGGAGAAAAGCCGTATAAATGCATGGAGTGTGGAAAGAGTTTCCGTGATCGTCAACCATATAATTACCATCTAAAGACTCACACAGGGGAGAAACCATACAAGTGCGTGGAATGTGGAAAGAGCTTCGTTCAGAGGGCACAACTGCATTGCCATCAGAGGATTCACACAGGAGAGAAGCCATATAAATGCATGGAGTGTGGAAAGTGCTTCAGGGAGAGTGGAAGTTTTCGTTCCCATCAAAGGACCCACACAGGGGAGAAGCCATATAAATGCATGGAGTGTGGAAAGAGTTTCAGTGATAGTGGAACATATCATACACATCTAAGGACACACACAGGAGAAAAACCATATACATGCATGGAATGTGGAAAGAGCTTCATTCGGAGGGCACATCTGTCTTGCCATCAGAGGACTCACACAGGAGAGAAACCACATAAATACATGGAGTGTGAAAAGAGCTTCAGTGATAATCAAACATGTATTAACCTTCTAGAGAGTCACTCAGAGGAGAAAAGTATTGATGCTGGGAAGAGGCCATATAAATGCATGGACTGTGGAAAGAATTTCCGTCGGAGCGCACATCTCCATAGCCATCAAAGAATACACACAGGAGAGAAGCCATATAAATGCATGGAATGTGGAAAGAGCTTCCGCGATTCTTCAACACATTATAAACATCTAAGGATACACACAGGAGAAAAACCATATAAATGTATAGAATGTGGAAAGAGGTTTGGTGATGGCGCACAACTTCGTATGCATCAAACAACACACACTGGGGAAAAGCCATATAAATGCATAGAATGTGGAAAGAGTTTCAGTCGGATTCGAACTCTGCGCCTCCATCAAAGAATACACACAGGAGAGAAGCCATACAAATGCATGGAATGTGGAAAGAGCTTCCGTGTTAGTGTAACATATACTCAACATCTAAGGATTCACACAGGAGAGAAGCCATATAAATGCATTGAATGTGGAAGGAGCTTCCGTGTTAGTGGATCATATAATTACCATCTAAAGACCCACACAAAGGAGAAGCAATTTAAATACATGGAATATGAAGAAAGCTTCAGTGATAGTGGATCATATAATAATCTAAAGACCCTCACAGGGGAGGAGCCACGTCAATGCATAGAATGTGGAAAGAGCTTTAGTGATAATGCATCATATAATAATCATGTAAGGACCCATGTAGAGGAGAAACCACATCAATGTATGGAATGTGGGAAGTGTTTCCGTCGGAGTGAACATCTGCGTTCCCATCAAAGGACCCACACAGGGGAAAAGCCATATACATGCATTGAATGTGGAAAGAGTTTCAGGTGGAGTGGGCAACTGCGTTGCCATCAAATATCCCACACAGGGGTGAAGCCATATCAATGCATGGAATGTGGAAAACGTTTCAGTGATAGTGGATCATATAAGCAGCATGTAAGGATCCACACAGGGGAGAAGCCATACCAATGCATGGAATGTGGAAAGAAATTCAGTCGAAAGGCACATGTGCAGTCCCATCAAATGACACACACAGGAGAGAAGCCATATATGTGCATGGAATGTGGAAAGAGTTTCAGGTGGATTAAGCAGCTGAATTGCCATCAAATATCCCACACGGGAGAAAAGCCATATAAATGCATGGAATGTGGAAAGAGTTTCACTGATCCTGGGTCATACAGTAATCATCTAATGGCTCATACAGGGGAGAAACCATATATGTGCATCGAATGTGGGAAGGCCTTCAGCAGGATTACCTCATGTTGCAAACATCTATTGACTCACTTAGATGAAACCACGTGAATGTATGGAAAGTGGAATGGAATTCAGGGGAAATGTTCATTTAGTTCCTAGTTCATTAGAATTTACCACCTTTGATATTCCACAAAATGGCAAACCCATTTCTCATATTTTGTGAATTGGACTACTGCTCCCCCTAATAAATCTTGATATTTTCCCCATGTCTGTATTTTTATAATGACACTGAATGGCACCTACAATAAAGTTGGTTTCTACAAGTTCTGAATGAGTCAAGAGTATCTGTTTGCCAAGATGGTTTATAAAATCAGTCATTTAGAGCCCGTCTGCCTCCTGAGGCCAAGATTCGACTACCTGCTGAAGGAGCAGGCTGAGAGTCCAATGCCCAGCACGGTTCTTGTGTTAGGGAAAGCTATCCAAAAATAGCAGAGCATCCAAAACCACAAACAGGATACTAGTAGTTGTGCATTCAGCTCATACCAAGCAGAGTATTTTGTGTATTTATTTATTATTTATTTAAAACATTTATATTCCGCCCTTCTCACCCCGAAGGGGACTCAGGGCGGAGCACAGCATATACACGGCAAACATTCAATGCCGGGACACAAATTCACATACACATACATAAACATTAAAAAACATTTATCAAAATATTAAAATACACCATTTAAAACCGTCCTAGTCATCCGCGTCAAATCTAATTGGCCTGGTCATCTTTCCTATTGCCGCTTTATTGCCCTGTCCCGAAAGCTTGGTCACAGCCAAGTTTTGACCATCCTTCTAAAGGACAGGAGGGAGGGGGCTGACCTGATCTCACCAGGAAGGGAGTTCCATAGCCGGGGAGCAATCACCGAGGGCATTGTGCTGGTACAGCTGTACCAGGAGCTCCAATTTTGTTTGCTTTGCATTAAATGTTTGTTGCAGTCCTAAGTTTCAGGGACTCTGCAGATAGGTGGCTTCTTTTGGCTGCAATCATAGGGCAAGCCACCTGTCAATTATCGTTAGGTTCCCTGGTCCCCCCCCTTTTTGAGTTTTGGAGGGAATAGGAGCCTTTTTGAGTCAGTTCTCACAGAGAAGCCTTTCGCACAGGACATAAAACCAAGAGCTCCTGTAGAAAGCTTCGTATTCTACAGCTTGGCCAGGGAGATACAGCCCTACAGCTTGGCCAGGGAGAAAAGGCCCACAGCTTGGCTGAGGATTTTGCAGCCTTATAGTTCCTTTGCTGAGGGACTTCAGCCAGCCATCACCTAAACCTGAACTCCTCCTTTTCCCCTGGAAGTCTACAAAGCTCTGCTTGGTAAGGGTCGCTTGCGGAAGCCAGATGCAGTTGGTACTGGGTGCAGGGGCTCCACACCAACAGAGGCAAGTACAGACTGCCCAGATTAGAAGTTAAGGATTTCCCTATTAGTTAGTATACAGTTATGAAGATAGTGCCTGTTCCCAGTGAACAAGATTGCAAGAGCCAATAGACTGTTAAGAAAGCTTTAAAGTACCTGTTTGTTTTCATCAATAAAGAACTTTGTTGGACTTACTTTAAGCCTCTACAGAACTTTGTTTTGGGGAGGTCCAAGGGCCTCTAATCTGAGGCAGCCCCGGCGTCCCGTTGGGCACACAGAATTTATGTCCTGTCTACAGTCATATGCACAGGCCCAGCGTGCGACAGCACAGCCCTGTCTCTCGTCCCCACCAATCGTGACTATGGCAATGGCGGGACGGAGAGCAGAGTTTCCCAGGAGGATCTTAATCTCCGCGATGGTTCATAGGGGGAGATGCATTCGGACAGGTAATTTGGGCCGGGGCCATTTAGGGCTTTATAGGCCAAATCCAGCACTTTGAATTGCGCCTGGTAGCAAACTGGCAGCCAGTGGAGCTGGCGTAACATGGGAGTTGTATGCTCCCTGTATGCCACCCCAGTTATTAACCTGGCTGCCTCTCGTTGGACTATTTGAAGCTTCAAGCAGTCTTCAAAGGCAACCCCATGTAGAGTGTGTTGCAGTAGTCTATCCTAAATGTAACGAGAGCGTGGACCACCGTGGCCAAGTCTGACTTCCCAAGGTATGGGTGCAGCTGGCGCACAAGTTTTAATTGTGCGAATGTTCCCCTGGTCACCGCTGCAACCTGGGATTCCAGGCTCAGTGATGAATCCAGGAGAACTCCCAAGCTGCGAACCCAAGGAAGAATTGAACTCACTGGTGCAATAGTTCTAAAAGAAAATTGGATAAAGATGGTATATAGATGGCATATGACACCACAAAAATTGGGAAGTATTACAAAAATACAAACATAAAATGCTGGAAATGTAGGGAAATAAAAGGCTCATACTTCCACATGTGGTGGACGTGTGGCAAAACAAAAAATTGTTGGAAAAAAATTCAGAAAAAAATTTAAGAAATTTTAGAGATAAAATTACCATTAAAACTGGAAACCTTTCTACGGGGGATACATGAACAAAAAATAGACAAAAACAAAGATAAACTATTATTTCTACTAACTACTGCGGCAAGGCTAAGCTATACAAGATTATGGAAAAAGAAAGTGATACCAGAAGAAAAAGATTGGATGATTTATTTATTTTATTTTTTTATTTGTCGTGTCAGGGCAACTAGTCAATTGTGTTACATTTCTAACAGAACATAACAAACAGACAAAATACAAAATTTGTGAGTTTGGTAGTTGATTAAATGTCCTTTGACCAGTATCTGGCCACTTGGAGTGCTTCTGGTGTTGCCGCAAGAAGGTCCTCCATGGTGCATGTGGCAGGGCTCAGGTTGCATTGCAGCAGGTGGTCAGTGGTTTGCTCTTCTCCGCACTCACATGTCGTGGATTCCACTTTGTGGCCCCATTTCTTGAGGTTGGCTCTGCATCTCGTGGTGCCAGAGCGCAGTCTGTTCAGCGCCTTCCAAGTCGCCCAGTCCTCTGTGTGCCCAGGGGGGAGTCTCTCATTTGGTATCAGCCATTGCTTGAGGTTCTGGGTTTGAGCCTGCCACTTTTGGACTCTCGCTTGCTGAGGTGTTCCAGCGAGTGTCTCTGTAGATCTTAGAAAACTATTTCTTGATTTAAGTTGTTGACGTGCTGGCTGATACCCAAACAAGGGATGGGCTGGAGATGTCTCTGCCTTGGTCCTTTCACTATTGGCTGCTACTTCCTGGCGGATGTCTTCCTACCTTCCTTCCCTTCCTTCCTCCCTCCTTCCTCCCTTCCCTTCTTCCTTCCTCCTTCCTCTCCTCCTCTCCTTCCTTCTTTCCTTCCCTCCCTCCTTCTTTCCTTCCCTCCTTCCCTCCCCTCCCTTCTTCCTTCCTTCCCTCCTTCTTCCTTCCATCTTTCCTTCCCTTCCCTTCCCTTCCTTTCCTCCCTTCTTCCTTCCTTCTTTCCTCCCCCCTTCCTTCCTCCCTCCTTCCTTTCTTTCCTTCCTTCCCCCTTCCTCCTTCCTTCCCTCCCTTCTCCTTCCTTCCTCCCTCCTTCTTCCTCCCTCCTCCTTCCTTCTTCTTTCCCTCCTCCTTCCTTCCTCCTTCCCCCTTCCTTTCCTTCCCTCCTTCCTCCCTTCCCTTCTTCCTTCGTTCCTCCTTCCCTCCCTCCTTCCTTTCCTCCTTCCTTCCCTCCTCCCTTCCCCCTTCTCTCCTTCCTCACCTCCCCCTTTCCTTCCTCCTCTCCCTTCTTCTTCCTTCTTCCTCCTTCCCTCCCTCCTTCTTTCCTCCTTCCTTCCTTCCTCCTTCCTTCCCTCCCTTCTTCCTTCCTTCTCTCCTTCCTCCTCTCCCTCCCCTTCCTCCTTCCCTCCTCCTCCCTTCCCTTCTTCTTCTTCCTCTTCCCTCCCTCCTTCCTTTCCTCCTTCCTTCCTCCCTTCTTCTTCCTTCCTTCCTTCTCTCCTTCCTCCCTCCCTCCTTCCTCCTTCACTCCCTCCTTCCTCCCTTCCTTCTTCCTTTTCCTTCCCTCCTTCCTTCTCCTCTTCCTTTCCTTCTTCCTCCTTCTTCCTCCTCTCCTTCTCTCCTTCTCTTCTTTTCTTTCCTCCTTCCTCTTCTTCCTTCCTCTTTCCCTTTCCCCCCCTCCTTTCTTTCTTCCCCCCCCTCCTTTCCTTTCTTTCTCCTTCCTCTTTTTCCTACTAACTATACGTTCCCGTCCAAAGTACACCCTTGCTCCTCTCCTCCTCCTTCTCTCCTCTTCCTCCTCTTCTTCTTCTTCTTCCTCTTCCTCCTCTGCTTCTTCTTCTTCTGACAATTCCCATGTTTGCTTTGGCTCTGCTCAGAAATGGCTTTTCCCATTTGGAGCTCAGACTATCTCGACCATGCTTCTTGCTCTGAAACAATGTCTACACTCTGAGACTGGTTCATTTTTATGGACAGTGGTACATGGGAGACTGAAATGGGACCTCTCCTTGATCGGTCACTTTCCTTCCTCCTTCTCTCTTCCTCCTCTTCCTTCCTCCTTCCTCCCCTTCCTTTCCTCCTCCCTTCCTCCTCCCTTCTTCCTTCCTTCCTTCTCTCCTTCCTCACCTCCCTCCTTTCCTTCCCCCCTTCCTCCCTTCCCTTCTTCCTTCGTTCCTCCTTCCCTCCCTCCTTCCTTTCCTCCTTCCTTCCTTCCCTCCTTCCTTCCCTCCTTCTTTTCCTTCCTTCCTTCCTCCCTCCCTCCTTTCCTTCCCCTTCCTCCCTTTCCTTCTTCTTCTTCCTCCTTCCTCCCTCCTTCCTTTCTCCTTCCTCCATCCTCCCTTCCCTCCCTTCTTCCTTCCTCCTTCTCTCCCTTCCTCCCTCCCCTCCTTCCTCCCTCCTTCCTTCTTCCTTCTTCCTCCTTCCTCCCTCCTCCTTCCTTTCCCTCCTTCCTTCCTCCCTTCTTCCTTCTTTCCTTCCTCTCTCCTTCTCTTCCTCCTTCCCTTCCCTCCTTTCCCTTCCTCCTTCCTCCTTCCTTCTCCTTCTCCTCCTTCCTTCCCCTTCCTTTCTCCTTCCTTCCTCTCCCTCCCTTCTTTCCTCCCACCCTTCTTCCCTTCCTTCCTCCTTCTCCCTTCCTTTTCCTTTCCCCTTCCTTTCTTCTTCCTCTCCTTCCTCCTCCTTCCTTCTTCCTTCTTCCTTCTTCCTTTCCTCCTCCCTCCTTCCTCCCTCCTTTTTCCTTCCTCCTCCTCCCTTCCTTCCTTCCTTCTTCCCTTCCTCCCTCCTTCCTTTCCTCCTTCCTTCCTTCCCTCTCTCTTCCTCCCTTCTCTTCCTCCCTCCTTCCCCCTTCCTTTCCTTCCCTCCTTCCTCCCTTCCCTTCTTCCTT